CAAATGTAGTTATAGTGATTACTAATTTACAAGGATTGTGGCACTGCATTCAGTTTATACAGTGGAGTGCACACACTTTTTGAAACGTGACTCACCATGATGAACACAAATCCTACCAGAAGATGAAACTAAACTAACAGATAAGCATAGTTTTTCACATAACATTTATTCAAATGCCCAATTTCCCATGGCTAAACCTACTACTGTTGTTGTTAACCTTGTAAAAGGGTCTGCATTAGTATGCCTTCCCGCTCTGTGAAAATAGGTCAGTATCAGTACACAGTAGTAGTGGAGTGACATACTCTATAAGCATGCTGATTGAAGGTAGTACTTAAATTATTAATCCGTAGATATCTTCCTGACTGCACAATAGCAGTGTATTTATTCTCCGTTATCTTCCATCTTCTACAAAGTAAGAAGTATGTAAATGTTAATGAATGCAGCATTTAGATTTTTTTCTTTCAGTAATTTTTTTGCCATTTTCATCTTTATTTAACAGTTAGCTATTGAGATATACTGGAAACATGGTGGGGTGGGGGCTGGCATCAAACTGGGGACGTGCTTTTGTTCATTGCATCACGATCGTTGTGAGTGGGTGTCTGTACAGGGCATCCTTTATGTGCAACAGGAGCACTGCCCATTCACCTGGCAGGTGTTCTTTTAGCACCAGCACATTAATAGACATGTGGCATGCAGTAGTCTGTGAGCTTTCAGAATCGTTCACTATCCTTATTGTCAAAGACTGTCAAAGCTTCCTCTGTCCTTTCTTGCAGTTTTCCGACTGTGCCCTTTCACCTAATTCTCTCATATGCTTTCGGGGCACAGGTGTAAATGGACCATCCTAATCTACTTGAACTGATACTGAAATTCTCCCTGGCTCAGTGTGAGTTAGCCAACAGTTAGAATAGGAAATATCCAGGAGCGTGAAGATTGAATTTAGATGAGGGATTACATTTGATAGCAGTTGACAGAGGTGTGCCGCTTAATCCCCGGATTGACTGCTATATTGTCACACCCTAACAAATTAAGTCACAGCGGGCTGTTTCTACGCTGTTTCTTCATCCGTGCCTGCATCCCTTTAGAGTTCTGTTTGTTTTAGCACCACTTGATATCAGATTTAGGTCTTATATCTCCCTACTCCTCCCCTTGAACAATGCATAACTTTTAAAATTGTTTTCTGAGAATGATGCCAGTGTGCCTGTTTTAAACCTGCTCGGCTGCACAACGGACCAAAGTGAATCTAATACATCGTCGGCGTCATCTGATGCCCTTCTAGGTTTTGTGTTTGGAGTTTTCTTTCATCATCTTGGGTGAGGAATCTTTGTAGCATGTGTGTTTGCGTATAAATATATACCAGTTGCTGAGGAACGATGCCTTTAGCCTTGGCAGTTGCTAAAGACAGGTTTTCACTCTTCCTGTGAGGCAGAAGTGTGAAAGGTTAGCTTGTGGAGTCAGATGGGGGTTTATACTGGGATGATGATCAGATGCTGCCTGCATCACTATTGGAGACACCACACCCTTTGCCTAAGTTTAGCCTTGTTTATGTACATGCTTAACTTGACATTTTCTCCTCTGCTTTCAGCCCAAGACTTTTTCTCAGACTGGATTCCAGTTTGTAACTGAAATGGGAGTCATGTATTTACTCACTAGAACAGATATATAATGTAACTAGCATTTTGTGATGTTATGTTGATGTGTATTTTCGATTTTTCTTTTTCTCATTGTTTTATCTTTGTTTCCTGTATTGGCTTTTTTCAGCCTTAGCTCTAAGACCCTTTGATTAAGCATACAGTGAGGAAAATAAGTATTTGAACACCCTGCTATTTTGCAAGTTCTCCCACTTAGAAATCATGGAGGGGTCTGAAATTGTCATCGTAGGTGCATGTCCACTGTGAGAGACATAATCAAAAAAAACACCTGTCTATCAGCTAGAATTCTGACTCTCAAAGACCTGTTAGTCTGCCTTCAAAATGTCCACCTCCACTCCATTTATTATCTTAAATTAGATGCACCTGTTTGAGGTCGTTAGCTGCATAAAGACACCTGTCCACCCCATACAATCAGTAAGAATCCAACTACTAACATGGCCAAGACCAAAGAGCTGTCCAAAGACACTAGAGACAAAATTGGACACCTCCACAAGGCTGGAAAGGGCTACGGGGAAATTGCCAAGCAGCTTGGTGAAAAAAGGTCCACTGTTGGAGCAATCATTAGAAAATGGAAGAAGCTAAACATGACTGTCAATCTCCCTCGGACTGGGGTTCCATGCAAGATCTCACCTCGTGGGGTCTCAATGATCCTAAGAAAGGTGAGAAATCAGCCCAGAACTACACGGGAGGAGCTGGTCAATGACCTGAAAAGAGCTGGGACCACCGTTTCCAAGGTTACTGTTGGTAATACACTAAGACGTCATGGTTTGAAATCACGCATGGCACGGAAGGTTCCCCTGCTTAAACCAGCACATGTCAAGGCCCGTCTTCAGTTTGCCAATGACCATTTGGATGATCCAGAGGAGTCATGGGAGAAAGTCATGTGGTCAGATGAGACCAAAAATAGAACTTTTTGGTCATAATTCCACTAACCGTGTTTGGAGGAAGAAGAATGACGAGTACCATCCCAAGAACACCATCCCTACTGTGAAGCATGGGGGTGGTAGCATCATGCTTTGGGGGTGTTTTTCTGCACATGGGACAGGGCGACTGCACTGTATTAAGGAGAGGATGACCGGGGCCATGTATGGCGAGATTTTGGAGAACAACCTCCTTCCCTCAGTTACAGCATTGAAGATGGGTCGAGGCTGGGTCTTCCAACATGAAAATGACCCGAAACACACAGCCAGGATAACCAAGGAGTGGCTCTGTAAGAAGCATATCAAGGTTCTGGCGTGGCCTAGCTAGTCTCCAGACCTAAACCCAATAGAGAATCTTTGGAGGGAGCTCAAACTCCGTGTTTCTCAGCGACAGCCCAGAAACCTGACTGATCTAGAGAAGATCTGTGTGGAGGAGTGGGCCAAAATCGCTCCTGTCAGTGTGTGCAAACCTGGTGAAAAACTACAGGAAACGTTTGACCTCTGTAATTGCAAACAAAGGCTACTGAACCAAATATTAACAGTGATTTTCTCAGGTGTTCAAATACTTATTTGCAGCTGTATCATACAAATAGTTAAAAAATTATACATTGTGATTTCTGGATTTTTTCTTTTAGATTATGTCTGTCACAGTGGACATGCACCTACGATGACAATTTCAGACCCCTCCATGTTTTCTAAGTGGGAGAACTTGCAAAATAGCAGGGTGTTCAAATACTTATTTTCCTCACTGTATTTGTATGTGCATGGGCATCTTGTGCAGAGTAGCAGACGTGCTTGTGCATGCTTCTGTCTCTATGTTTGTGGTGGATGGATAATTGGAGTGTTAAAAGCAGAAGGATTTAGATAGAGGAATGTTCTCCACATTAATCAGGATCAGTGTTCACTGCTAATGATCCAGAGGAGACCTTGCAGTCCCCAAGCCACTTTCCTCTCTTCCAGTTCCCTGCCTCTGCTTTCTAGGAAAACCCGTCTCTTAGTGCAATCACTCTCCCTTTCTTCTCTTGATCTCAAGTACCCCCGATCACTCCGCTCTGCTTCACTGCCCTCTGACACACACACTGTGAGACGGGGGTTATCGGGGGGGGAATGGAGCAGAAAAGCACATGTACATGCCACATCTTCAGAAACACATCTCAGTCCTCTCGACTGAGATGAGACAAATAGGCGTAATAAGGAGGACTTAACAAGTTTGTTTACGCCTTTCTTCACTCAGTGATGCAGGAACTCCTCCTAACCCTAACACCCCCACTGGTCTTGACCAGTACTGGCTCCGAGAGGGAAAGCTCAGTGAGTGCTTAGTTCATTTGTTTCCCAAAGACCTAAAGTTGTGTACTCTGGTAGAAACAGAGTCACCACATCAAATCATCCTGCTTTCTATAATGGAGAAATCAAATGTGGAAATAGTTACTCAGGTATCGTAAATGTAAGCTTACCTCTCTCGACAAACAGAACGTAGCAGGATAAATGGAAGTGTTCTAGGTCTACATCAGTGTCAGCGTTGCCAAAATTTAGAGTATTATAGAGGAAAAGGCAATTGTTTGTACAGCATGGAAACATATATTACATCATTCTTGGGTACAAAGAGTCTTTGTGTTCACAGATGGTATTTTCTCATGCAAATGTTTGCCTCACCTAATATTGTTAAACTCAAGGTATTGGGCTGTTTAATCTGAAACAGAGTCTACAGAGACTATTATATTATCCTGTTCTATCGAAGAAACATATAAGGTAATAGAAGACGCCATATCCGAGGCACTCATGTCAAACCACAGCGTCGCTATTAAGCACTTTGTCAGAAGCATTTGGGAAGTGCTCTCTACCAGGCTAATCCAATTGGCTGGATTGATTAGCAGTTAAAAGCCTTTCTTCCTGTGGTCGATCATGTGGAGCAATCCGTTCCAAATGCTGCCCAGTGGGCTAGCTTTAGCTGGGCTGGCCCACCAGATCAGTTGGTGCCAGGCCTACTTCCTGTGTAGGGTTTCACCGGGCGCGATCAATACATGCAGACAGCTAATTGGATGAAGACTGACACTCACATTTCTCTTCTCTCCACTTTATGGTCCATGGAAGCTGCATAAGGGTGTTCAGGAGAGTGTCCTGTCCTGTTACAGTATGTAATATAAAAGCAGAGTTTATGGGAATGCAGTGTGGAAATATGCATTATAGTATCTATATCTGTGTCAATTAAGTGAACGCGGTGTTATCTGATAGTAACCCTGCAAGTACTTGACAGCAACCTCAGACATCTTCCCTCACTCCCTTCCGTTCACACACATTCAATCCACTCCTTACCTCATGCGAACACTGTTGCTGGATGTCTTGCATAACCCCTGTTTTCCTCTCTCTCTCTTTCTCCCTCCCTATTTGTGTGTTTTTCTCTTCTTTGTTTCTTCTGGACATGTCTGGACAGAATGACCAAGTGTGACGTAAAGAACTACCTGGAGAAGATCTATAATGTACCTGTAGGAGCAGTCCGCACCAGGATACAATTTGGTGAGTGTCTTCACTGCTTTGCACAAGCACATACAGAGTGCTATTACATTTTCATTTCACACACCTCATAAAATTTTTATATTTCTTGTAGATATACTCCTAGTGAAGGTACTACTGGACAAGAATTATTTTTTCACCACCCCCAACAACAGTTATTTACAGAAATGTGAGCACTAGCTCATGTTAGAGGTCTTCCCAGGTCCATTCAATTCAAATCAGCTTTATTGACATGAATGTATAACAACAGTATTGTCAAAGCTACATATATTCATTCCATTCACATCCTAGTAACTGAAATCTGGTAGGATCCCATTGTATTGCCATGAGTCTAGGATGCCAACATGTCTTAATGTCAGAATGGATCCAAGAGTACTCAATCATATCTAATCATATGCTACGTCATCAACAAAATGTTTTTGTGGTGGGAGAACTGAAGTAATGCTCCGGAAAATGTACATATTGCTATTTTTTTGACAGCTATAGTTATTGTATTGGTGCATCATGCTGCTGCCTGGTTGTTTGTTTCCTCTGGGTATGTTCAGGTCAACTGCATTTTGGGTCGCGCCTAAATATCCTAGGGTCTATTTGAATCGGGTTCAACTGTCCAAGGGTCATTTTCAGAGTTGAAGACCTCTAACCTCTTACTCACGTAACATTTTTAGATAGATTTATTTGATAGTGATTTGTGATTTGTGCAAATCACCCACCCAAACAAGCAGTAGAGGCATCGGCGCTGGATGCAGCAAGTAGATAAACAAAAGCAAGACAAGCAAACAAATGCCACAGCGAAGTGGATAGCTACACGCTGCATGCTGATTAGTATTGGGGAAGATGTCGATCTTACGAACGTTCTTACAATTGCAACATAGTCGCTTGGCCACGCGGGTCCTCTCAGGTAAACGGAAAGGGAGACCAGTGCTCCGCGAGTAAACGGCAGGCAGTCTATAGAGAGTAACCATGGCAACGGCTTCTGTGCACTACACAGCTGTAGCCTATTTAACCTAAGTTAAGATTATAGGCTAATATTACATAACTTTACCTGATAGGCCTACACCTAATTTTGCGGGGATGCTCTGCCATGCGAATTCCCTCCTGTTGGTGTCCTATTTAGTAAACAGTAATAGATTCTGGAAACTCACAAACAGCGAGGATCAGTCTCTCTTCCAATGATTTGTACTCCAAGTTGCGCACAAAAAGGTAAAGTACAATTCAACTTCGGTGGCGTGTGCGTGAGCACATCCTCGACAGTTTCACGGGAACGACCCCACTTGTCGTTTCACCTTGTGCTCGATCACTTCACCTCAGTGTAGGGACACTTGCTACTGAACATAGAATGTTTATGCTACTCCCCGATAAAAGAAAAATGTTTCTGCTGATACATGTTCAGAAAAAACTCTTAAAAGTCCGCAATACCATACTTCAGAATTCATTATTCAATTTTGCACATAACAATACGATTAATCGCAAGAAAATCATGCGATTAATTGCGATTAAAAATTTAATCTTTGCCCAGCACTAAAGATTATATTCAAATAATCTAGGAGTCCTATATGTTGAGACTCGCACATAAGGTTTAAAGAGATTTTGATTCGGTGCAGTTCCTCACACTTGTTTGTAGCTATTGTAATTTTGGTTATCCCAGGCTTGAAGTGATAACTCCACCATGTCGGTGGGTAGAATAACTGGCATAAACATTACCCCTGTAGAGGTCTTTGCCATGACATGGATTTGTATCTTTGTTTCCGGGATGTATCTTATTTGTGACATTAAGTATCACCACAGAGGAGTGTTTGAGAAAACAAAAAACTACAATGCAGGCTTCATTGATCTTATGAGAACGAAGCTAGTGGTGGAAAAACAGTACACACCATGACTGTAGGTCTGTGTAAAGACATGGAACAGTGGGTGAGAGTGGGTGTTTAGGCAGTAGTGAAAACAGAAAACACTTGATTCATGGGATGCAATACTAAGTCACAAACAAATTAAAACTAAAGCTGGAGGAAATTGAGCAAATTATGCGCACAAACACACACACACTTCGATATAAAATGTGTCTTTTGAACATTCCCTACCTGTAGACATGAAAGATAACTATATATAGTTAGGTGTAGCTCTGGTCATCTTGAATCAATGGATTGTGTGACTGAAACATTTCACAGCCGGAAAAAAAAGCATCAAGTAAAACTCCTCAAACTAGTCTTGTAGCATAATCCCCCTATCGCTGTCCATCCACATACTCAGTATGTTGCCAACAATTGTTTTACATTGTTGTCATTTGGACACATTTGAACCAGTTAATGTCATTTATAAAGTTCATTTGTAATACAAAGTTTGAGGTTTAATATTTCTGTCCTGATGAAAATAACCACTTATTTCCACTATAATCCTTAAGGTTTTATCCATCCTTATAGCAGTTACAGTTTTTTTAATAAAATTTGTTTATGGTGTATGGAATTCACAGTAAGAAATTTTTTGTTTTAGGAAGCATAAAGTCAAATTGATTCAGTTTTGGAGACTGTAAGCAGTGGTTAGCGACGATAGGCCTTTTCAGCTTGCGATGTAGACGGTCTTTCCATTGACATGCAGCAGCGGGAGTGTTTTCCAGCGACTAGTTGCGGTAGTGGTTAGCGTGCCTGGCTCTCCTTTCCCCCTAACGCACACAGCTGCTTATCTGACAATCTGCTGCTGCAGCATTCCAGCCTCCAGCTGTCCCAGGACACCCCACGCTCCCTCCACACAAACACATACTATTCACTTAAAAAATTGCAACTTCAAGTGGCCCATCCCCTCCTGCCCCTTGTTAAGGATGATCATAGAGCCAAAAGAGTTATATCATTGACTTAATAATCCTTTTGACTTTTTATTGGGGGAGGAAACGGCTTAAGTTTGCATGGACTTATTTGGGGGCTTCCTATAAGTCTAGGAATTTGCAAGTTCATGGAAGAACAGAGGGAAAGGACATATGGGTGGCTTGAGGTTGGAGAGACGCTGTGGGACGGGCTGAGAAGAGGAGGCATGAGCCCCTTCTGTGCTGCGCCTGAAGGGCCACGAGGAGCCCCCTCTACCTCTGGAGGAGAGACTGGGAAGGAGACATGGGGGGAGGGAGGAGGAGAGAGGCGCCTAGCCTAGCCTACAGTGTGGAGGACCCATTAACGCTGTTTATTAGGGTTGTATCATTAAAAGCTAGGGGAAAGGAAAGCCCCTCGGGAGGGTGGGTGGAAGGAAAGCAGTGAGAAGTGGGGGTACAGAGTGGGACAGAGAAGAAAGGGTGGCTCAGGGCCCCCGGTGATCCCAAGGTGCGTCAGAGAAGGTATCCCTGTCTGCGTCAGGAGTTCCACTTCATTGGTAACGTAAAGACGGGAACCGGCAGAGGAGAGCGAGGGGCGCAAACGACCCTTTCTTCACTTCATGGGCGGCAGGGGTATTTTGGAAGGAGTTGCTATGGTTACCCCTTCGGCCTGGGATTTGTAACGTGATAGCTGGCTGCCAAACCGCAATCTCAAAGTGGGAGAAATTGTGCTTGCGTGTGCGAGTGTTGTATGAAAGCTCAGTCTGTGTGTCTGTATGTGTTAGGAAAGGGCTATGTGAATTAAGAGAAACACACTTTGTACCTTTTCAGGACGTGCAAGTGTGTTTGTGTGTGCGGGTGTTTTGTTTATGCGGGGACAGGCCAGTTTCTTACCTTTCTCTTTCAAAGGTTGTAGCGTTTCCCTGTGGATTTCCCCAGCAATCCCAAACACACACATGCACAGAGGCACACATTTTTGTTACCTCTGTCTCCCACCCACACAGGGGCCTCCAGTTAGCCAGGGGGGCGTGGAGGGGGGTTGTTTTACAACCCTGCTCAGGGCTTTCCCTAAGCAGTGGGCTGCCTGGCCAGTGATTACTAGCTACATGTACATGTGCACACACACACACATACACACAAATGAGTCATTACAGGGGAATGTTTCCCTTGTTTTTCATGTCATAAACCGTTCCCATGGCAATGGCAGTTACTCAGAGGGCCTGTTGACTTGACCATCAGGGTCTTATGGAGATTCTAGTTGTAAGGCAGAGATGAACCGTTTGATGCTCTGGTCATTATCCATCATTAGTATTGAGCAAGTAATTAAGATTGTAATACGTTACTACTTAGGCTACTTATTACTCCTTTAAAAAGTAATGATATTACTTTACTTATTACTGGCCGGACCTGTCCTCACGACGACTATGCTACCAGGGCACAAACCGATCTACTGCGCATGTGTGGAAAGAGTCCGCCAAGCTAACTCCAGAAAATTGTATAAACAGAAGAAGTCCGCGTCCATTGGGTCCACAGCTGTCCATGTCCGCTCCAGAGAATATTCAAGCAGTTAGTTGGATTAGTAACTGTAATAATATTACTGTAATAACAGTACTGGTTACTGAGATTAGTAATATTATTACAGTAACAACAATTATATACTGAGTAACGTGTTACTGCCTAACACTGTCCGTCATTAATTGTAAAATTTTTGTTGTAACGTAAAGATTGAGATACCTGTGCGAAATGTCTTTAAGTTTAGTAAAATTACCTTTTGATTCATTAGAAGCCAGACTGCTAGCCTGCCTCCACACACACACACTCACACACTCCGCTGTCTTCCAGACTTGAAGAGGTCTGACAGGAGAGAGGATGATGTCATCATCATCTCCAGCTGGGGAAGAGGTTAACCTGCCTTCCATAGTCAACAAGATCAGGCTCTGCTTTACTGCGCTACACACAATGTATTCTTTGTTCTACAGGGAAATTATCAAAAATGCATACTAAAATATCTTTTGTTCAGATAACTGCTGTGCAGGTAAATATATGTCAGGAGAGTGTTTTAGTAATTTTGCTGACTGTCACCTAGGGGTGGACTTCTATCATAGCATATGTGATCGAAGCAGCGATCAGCGCTGAAACTAACAATTCTTTTCGTAAGTGATTAATCTGACAATTATTTTCTTGAATAATCAATGATTTATATGATCTTAAAAACATCAGAAAACTATGAAAAATGCATTACGATAAAACTCAAAAATATTCAGTTAACAATGTGTTATATAATGTTAAGACAAGTAAAAACTACTAGTGAAATTCTGGAACTGTCAAATGTTTGACCTTTTTACATGACCTGAATTATTGATTATAAAATAATTACCATTTCATTTTCTGACTATTGACTAATTGTTGCAGCTCTAATAGTGATATTGTTACAACTGTTTATACATGAAAAATAAATTCAATTCAAATGTCGTCTCATTCAGTTTATTAAATACCTTACAAATCGAGGTACTTCATTAAATTGATGTAAAAACACTAAAGCTTTCCTGCTCACTCACACAAAATTGCCCACCAAGACCCAATTTAACTCCAGTTTTGAAAGGGCAGGCTACCTCAGTGGAGACAGTATACCAAGTTCTCTACCAGTTGACAAATTTTCATCATCTTCATGGTATATCGTCATATTGCCCAGCCCTACTGTCACCATATTCATAAATGTCATCATCATCACCCTTTCCCACTGTTGGCTGTGCAACAAACAGAATTTGTTCATGTTTAGTCATTCCTGTTTTCCAACCAATGAAATACCTGCTGTTCTCTGTGTTCTCAGGCTCCAACAAGAAGAGGAATCACCTAAACCAGAAAGTTAAGCAGCCTGACTATAAAGTAGCCTACGTTCAGCTGGTGAGAAGACACATACACTCATCCACCTACTCCATGTCTTTTCTGGTTGGTGTGTTGTTTGAGTAGCATTAGCTCATTTACTCTTATCCAGTACACAGTGGGAAGTGGAAACCTCTTCACAACAACTTTCTCTCTCTCTCTAACACCCGGCCCTCTTTGGGGGGTTTAAAATAATTGTGAAGGCTGCATTGTTAAACACCAAGGGGGAAGGGCATTTTGGGGGGCCTTGAGCCTTCAGCTTTAGTGTCATGGGATTTTTTTAAGGGGTTAAATGCCGGGTGAGAAAGGCGAGACGGGTTATTCCTCCCTGTTCCTCCATAGAGCTCTGAGGGGCAGGCGACCTTTGAGAGTGAACTCTCAAACTCACTCACAGACACATACACATACAGGTATGGACGGACAGAACAAAATCAGTGTGCACACCTGCAAATAAAAATTTAACAAGCACTGTTCCTTTACCTGCCATGTCAAATGTTATTCCCTGTTCTCATGAGAATGCCTCTCATGCCCACAGATACGTAGATGCACACAAATCACACAGCCCTGCCTTGCATCGCTCTCCTGTGTGGTTCACACACTCTGGCTCTTGCATGGCCTGAGGGTGAAAGGCCGTCTTTGACTCCATGCCAGACTTACAACAGGAAATGTTGAGACATGGTTATCATCTGGTGTGACTCTCCTTTCTGTGCTTGCGTTTTGTGCCACAAATGGAATGTGTGCACTTAGTGTGATTGTGTGTGTGTTTAAAGGGACACTCCCGCTGTTGGTGTGTCAGCCCAGACTCCCTCATTGCATCACGACCGTTCACCTTCACACCTGTGTTTGAGGTGAGCTTTTGGTCAGGAAGGCCCATTCCCTGCACATCTTGCCAATGTTTGAAGTATGTTAGTCTTTGAAGTCAAACAAAGCTCCCCCCATGAAAATGTCGAAAAAGTCACTGTTTTTAATATGCCTTTGATGCAGACGTGAAAAGCAAGGGGCCTTTGTTTTGTGCCTGCTGTTTTGATCTTGCCCAGATAAATCAACAGCGGTGTAGACACTTGTTTACGTCGCGCCGCCCACCCGACTGGGAGCCATCAATCTTGAAACGGATGAATAATGAAAATTGTCTAAACATGACAATTTGAAAGAGGATACATAATTGAAGCAGCTATGAATCTTTTAAAGGGGAGACTTCCTCTTGTCTGACACCAAGGAAGTGGCCTGTGATTTTGTGTGCGTGTGGAATTCCTTGTGGAGTCAGTAGTGATGCTTCTGTCTCACCAGATGCATACAACGATGATAGGTGTGAGGATTCAGAACAGCACACACACACACACACACACACACACATATCTGTGACTTGTGTGCATCATTCATGCATGCTGAGCCCTAGAGGACTGATGTTTTTCCTTGAGTGTCATTCGCTCTGTAGTCGCAATCACATTGCGGTTCTGAAGTCATGCTCACTGACGGTGAACAGTGGGCAGACATACTAAGAAGCAGGCTCTTTGTGCTTAAAAAGGCTTGAAATAAAAAACGAATATGGCCTATTTCTCTGGCAAGTTTTCGGAAAAACATACTCTCTCAACTCCGTTTCCTATCTGTCTCTCTCACGAAACACACACACACACACACACACACACACACACACACACACACACACACACACACACACACAGAGCCCCAGAAAACCCTCCTTCCTTTTGCAGCGGTGGGTAGAAAACAAGATTGTTCCTAATTGACTCCACATGTGGGAGAGTGTTCTGTGGGTCGATGCTCACACCGCAGTCCCCCCATTTTACCCTCATCCTTCCCTCTCTCCCCCTGCTCCCTCCATCAGCTAATATTGCACCAGTAATACGTTTGCGCTCGCTCTCTCTCTTTCTCTCTCTCTCTCATTCCTTACTCTTGGTTTGTGGTTGAGGGGAGGCCTCCCGTTAGCGGGGTTCCGTGACGGCCATTTTCTTCAGGCTTAGGGGGGACCCCAGTAACGGGGGTAGAGATAGCGTCTGCATGTGTGAAATGTGTATGTGTGTGTGAGGGGCTCACACAGGGGAGATGACTGAGGGCATGATGGAGTCATGCCAGAGCAGGGAGGTGCAGAGACGGGGCAAAGTGATCAGAGGGAGGGGGGAAGAGTGTGTGTGTGTGTGTGTGTGTGTGTGTGTGTGTGTGTTCTGACAAAAACAGCAGAACAAAATGAAAAATCTTCTATCACACTGCTTTTAGGTCTGGCTGCACATCAATGGGAATATAACTGGTTTGTATAGAGTGAGAAACTTTCATGCACCGCTAGGACTAGCTGAGTCTAAAAGGGCTAACTCTAGCCACTGCGCTCAGGGTAACACTTGTTTTTGCAGTAAACTCATACTGTTCCATCTATTTTATGGTGTGAAGGGCTGATGTTGGAAAATCCACTTCTGCATTGCCATCTTGACCTCTGTTGTAGACATTACTTCATGTACAGTAGGTATAATTAGATTTCTTTTCTCACTTGACTTACTTCCTTTATAAGCAAAACATGTCGCATTTTTGTAGCAAATCCTAGTTCACTCAGTTGACTTGAATGTGCCTTGTAGAGAAGAAGGCATTTTTGCAGCTGATCATGTTTATAATGCATGTCGGACCCTGTGCATTACCCTCATTAAATTCTCTTGGCCCATCTCACAGTTGAAGTGCACCATTTCCAGTTAAACCTTGCTTCCATTTGAAACCTTCATAAACCCAATCTGGTGTTTTTCATAAAAGACAAAGCACTCCATTTCTGAAATTATAGTCATTTTTGAATGTTTTCAGTCACTGTTCGGCAACATTATTGTCAGTCAAACATTTACGATAAAGAACGCTCTGCCTGGCATGTAAATGAAAAGGCTGTGGTGAGTTTTGGTCAGAGGAGGAGTTATTTTCTCTCTTTGGAGTGGCAGCTAGTTTGCAAGCGAGCTTTGCTGGCTAGTGCCAGCTGCAGCACTTCAGTGGGCTGAGTGCTCAGAGTGCATGTTGAAAGCTCCCTGAGGGTGACGCTGTGAATATATGAATGGGATGCCTGACCATTCTGAGCATTTCTCAATGATCCTGTTTAGTCCCACATTGTGCTGTAAATGTCAAATGCATGCTATAAAAGTAACGATGTCTAATCAGCAGATTGTCTACAGCTGGTTGGATTGTTCATCTGACAACATGCTGCATTTTTTTAGCTTACAAGATTTAAACAAAATAACTTTAAAAAAAAATTCATTAGCAGCTCTGTGGTTGAACCTCCATCGTATTAAAAGGGAACTAGGGTTGGCCGATGTCTACAAAATTTTCATCGGACGCATTGAAACATCGGGTTGGGGCGAAGAAATCGTGTTGGGGGGAGGGTGTTGTCTTATGTGCATGTGTAGGCTGCATCATTAACAAGCCACAAGCGGCTCACCTTCTGCCATGATGGAAAAATACAGAAGACAAAGTCTGTGTCTTCTGGCAACTTTATAAAACACACTGCTGATGGAGAAAGTGGAGCGGGGTGGGGGTGGGGGTGGGATGCAAGTCGGTGTGTGTGTCTGAGTGTGGGGAGAAGAGAATTCCGAGGAAGGTGCAAAGCATATTTATAATCATAATGTTCGTGGTTACAATCACGATGCCTGCTCAACGTTGCGATGTCTGGCATCATCTACCGGCCAAACCCAGTTTTGGAAATATTTAGAAAATTATATTCCGAACGTATTACTAACTTTATTTTCTTATTAAAAAGGAGAGATTTGTTAGCTGTTAAGTGAAGTGCATAATTTTCTTGAAAGACTGTGATGGTATCCGTGTAAAGAAAGGAATCTCAGACATTTTCCTTGAGATGTTTTCAGAGGAGGTCAGAAGGGAGGAGCAGCAGTTTGTGTTATTTGCATGTTGGGCACCGCATGGCACGTCCAGGCACCTGTGGGGTTGCTTGCAACCATTTAGCATAAAACTCCACACTATTTAACTGTTGTTTGACAGTATGTATACATCTAGTAAAACCACACCATCCATGTGTATCAACAGTCATCTGGGCTCTCTGGGAGTCTGTAAGCATCGTCATACGTCCATCCTTTTGTGGGGTGTGGTTGCAAAAATAACACACAAGCTCAATTTAACAGAGTTTTATTTGTAGACAAAAGCTCACTTCATACAGTCAGAGGAGAGTCTGCACAAGGACGAGAGTAGTGAAAGTGGATGATGAGTGAAAACTTTGTAGCAGAAGGGAGAGGAGGCACACAGATGGTCCAAGGTGTTGTCACGATGCCGACCTTTAGTTGTCATGAAGTGAGCAGCTGGTTTTGTTTACACAGAAATCAATGATGTCACTATTTTTGATAGTAGTCACGATCTAGTTCTCCACATCTGAGAGCAGCCTAAAACCATTCACACATATCTTAAATGCTTTTAGCTTAATCAAATTTTTATTTCCGTAACATTAAAACATTACCCAAGCTCAATGTGGCTTGAAGCACTTTTAACTGGAAGTCACAGCTGTGTATTTGTAAACATTTTAGAGATTGTGTTTACTTCCTGAAGTTATAAACAAAAACGCTTAAACCCTAAAAAACAGGTTTTAGGTTTTATACTCTTGTTGGGACATTTGTACATATTAAAAGCAGAGCTCTTTCTCACACACACACACACACACACACACACACACACACACACACACACACACACACACACACACACACACACACACACACACACACAGCTCATGTAGCCACTAGTAGCTTTTCATTATTTTTTTGTGTGCCTGGTGGCCAGCTTTTCATAAAGCATTGAATAAGGTGTCAAGGTTTCTCTCCAGGGCCCTGGTCACTGACAGTAGAGCAGCAAACCAGTTGCACCAGTAAGATTGCTCGGTGCCCCAAAGCAATGTCCCGACCCGACGACCACAGAACAAAACAAGATATGGGGTTGGACCAACAGTTGTCGAATAAGTGGTAGCTTCATTCAAATTGCTCATTTCCCGTGTTTCTTTCTGTCGCTCTCCACCCACGCTCGATCCAAAGGCATCACTCGAAGTGAAAAAGAACGGGTGAGAGAGACAAACAAACAGGGAGAGACTGAGTGGCAAACATGGAGGAGTTGTGACACAGCTGAAAAAGGGGGAGAGAGAGAGAGAGAGAGAGAGAGAGAGAGAGAAAAAAAAACAGCTGTATTGAGAGTGATTATGAGAGGGAAGCTGTGGCCAAGTCTGGCTCTCCTCTCTGTTTCACTGACACTAGATGGCAACGTTTTGCTGCACAGCTTCTCTCACTAGCCTGCCTTCCTTGCCTATCTGTTATTGACTCCTTTTTGCTTAACAATAGACACTCTTGGGTTGTGTGTATGTGTGTATTGTGTTGTGTAGGTGACTTTGTGTATCTGGCTGGGCTGATGGGTGGTGGTAGAGAGGGGTACATGATGGAGGCGGGGAGTGGGGGGACTGCAAACCCCTGTGACCCCCTTCCCGGTCTCGGCTCTGAGCCCCGGCTCTCTGGAGCTGGAGGTGCTGAATCAGGCTGCTGGTCCGAGGGGGGAAATCTTGCTTATCTGTGTGGAATTTTATTATTATTTTCAACTATTTGGATCAGGATGGCTCCTGCTCTCCTTCCCTCCCTCTTCCTTTTTTCCACCTTGTCACGCAAACACAGGCTTTCCTCACACAGCCCTGTCTGTCTGTCTGCCGCTCTGCTTCCTTCCCTTCCCTGTGCTGCCTCACCCTTGCTTATCACGCCAATTAACATTTTTCACTTCTGCTACTTTCCCCCCAGTGCTCTCTCCTCGTCTGTGTCTGTCTCATATTTCTGTTTCACATAGGACTGGATTCATCATGGGAAAATACCGATTTCAATTCATACCACTA